CCTACAAACTTCTTAACTTCCCGGTCTGGCAGTCAGGGCTATGTCTGGGACCATTATAGTTTTATCTCATATTGCTTTATCCTAAGGGATCACTAAGTGGCTAATGGCAAAGTAGCTCTTTTGTTATTTTCAATATGCAACATGTGTTAGAAAATGCTTGGGTAGGGAAGGATAGAAGACAGGAAGGAAAAATGGGGAATTACTAGGGGGTGTTCAGTATGTGTGCATGTGGGTATGTGTGTGTAAACAAATGCATGTACATGTGTGTGTATGTGTACGTGCACAACCCAGCCAACTTTTTTCATGCTCTAAGAAGGACTTCTTCTGTGAAAAGACAGCTGGAAAAAGCCACTTCTGTAGTTAGTGCTGCTACCGACTGAACTACCAATATTCCTTCAATTTGCTTCAATTTTTCTTGTCTCATTCTTTGCGGAAAAGGTTTCACATTCTCCCCTGTACCCATCCTCATTTCCACCTATGAAAACCCTACCCAGTCAACAATGCCAGGTTCAATTTCCAATTCATTTCATGTTCCTTCCCTCTCTTCTGAGGCCTTTACATACTGTACATACAGTGTCAATCTCCTCTAACCCTGTATTTGAGTGGTTGATGCTTCTTTTTAAAAAATATTATTTATTTATTTTTAGAGAGGGGGAAGGGAAGATGAAAGAGTGGGAGAGAAACATCAGTATGTGGTTGCCTCTCATATGTTCCCTACTGCAGACCTGGCCTGCAACCCAGGCATGTGCCCTGACTGGGAATCAAACCAGCTACCTCTTGCTTCACAGGCTGGCACTCAATCCCCTGAGCCATACCAGCCAGGGCTGTGCTTCTTTTCTGATAGCAGAACTGCCAAATACAATGGTTCTTGTTGTGCCTTACATAAAGGTGGCTGGCTGCAGGGGCATATAGGGGCTGAAATCCATCTGACAATCAATGCTTGGAGGGAGCACCATTTCTAATTTACACAAAAACACAGGGTGTGCCAGCAGCTCTGCTGATGACATTAACATCTCCCTGACAACAGGAAAAAGATCATGAACACCTTGTTTCTCTCCAGCACTTTGACCAGGGCTTGCTGGAGGGCTGGTTGTAGACATCAAATGTGACCTCTCTCTCTCTGTCTACCACCCTCTCAGTCTCTCCATCTCCTCCTCCTTCTCTCTCTCCCTCTGATGATTAATTTTATGTGTCAACCTGATAGGGATAAAGGATGCCCAGACAGCTGCCAAAACCTTATTTCCTAGGTATGTCTGTGAGGGCATTTCCAGAAGAGATTAAAATTTAAATTGTGAAGATTAATAAACAGAAACATCATTTAAATTAGACTTGGGAAGGCCTGTAGAAAGATCTCACACACCCTACCCCTCATCACCAATTACCCCAAAAAGGAAGAGACCTACTTTTCATCTACAACAGCAAGGTGTTTTTCTACTCTACTACTCCAGCAGGAAGAAAATATGCTCATCCTACCACCACTCAGCCAATGAAAGAGTGTTATAACTCAGTCAATGAAAAGCCACCACACTTTGAACTTCCAGTTTTCTCTAATGGTCTCTGTTTACAACAGCTGCTCTGAACTCCCTCTCCCCTCCATAAAAGAACATTCTTCTTTTTTGTTCTCTGGACTTGGACATGGTTCACCATTAGACCACTTATCCACAATTTCAGTTCTTTGTTGTTCCCGAATAAACCAATTTTGTTGGAGAAATATCTGGCTCTTTATTTGTTTAAGACCAATAGAAGCAGTAGACTGAGTAAAGAAGGTCAATTCATCATCCAATCCACTGATGACCCCAATAAAACAAAAAAGGCAGATAAAGGGTGAATTCTTTCTCTTGTTAAGTGGAGATATTCACTTTCTCCTGCCCTCAGACATTAGAACTCTTGGTCCTTGGGTTTTTGGATGTGAATTATACTACCAACTTTTCTCATTTTCCATCTTGTAGGTGACATAGCATACTCAGCCTCGATAATCACATGAGCCAATTCCTATAATAAATCTTCTCTTGTATATCTATATGTATTTTATCAGTTCTGTTTCTCTGGAGAATCCTAATATGCTTTCTCACCCACTATATCCAATTATTCATCCTGTCTTATTGATTCTACCTCTTAAATAATCTCTCTAATCCACTAAGCATTTCTCTTTATTTTCCTGGCTGCCCCCCTAGGGTATTGTCATCATCTTGCTTAGAATTCAATACAAATTCAATAGAAAGTTTCTCAGTCTCTTGCCTCACTTCCTTCCTACATATTCTACGTATTCTCACAGCTACCAGATAATCTAAAATATAAAAATGATTATGTCAAACCCAATTGCTGTACCTTTATGATCTATTTCTGCTCCAGGTTTATCTCTTACTCCCTCACACCCACCCCTTCCCTACCCTGCATTGCCTAATCGTTCCATTCCTCAAGGACCTTATTTTCTCATTTTGTCAATACTTTTCTTTCTGTTTAGAATTTCTTGCTGCTAGCTCCTGTGTTTAATTGGACAACTCCTATTCATTTTTCAGGTCTCTCTCTCTCATACACACACACACACACACACACACACACACACACACACACACACACACACATACACACAGTACTTTCCTTATTACACTGTGTTATAATTGTCCACTTCTGTCTTCTCCACCAGACTTGTTTGCTCTCAGAGGGAAGAAAGCATGTCTGTCTTATTTACAGTTATTTCCCTCTTCTATCTCCTCCCACTGTGCCAGTACACAGCAGGAGCCCATTATTGTTTGTTGAGTGAATACTCAAACTCCAGAGATTCATTAGCTCTCATTCAAGGAGAACTTTTGAACACATAATTATATGGTGCCAGTGGTAATTTTAACTTTCTAATAAGGAAAAATAGTTTTTTAAATGATTGGCTATGTTTCACCAGCAATGAGTATAATGATGTATACCTGGCTGTGTCAATTCAGATATGCACATCAAAATGAAGACTGTGTGTTCCAGGGGGGAAAATCTAGCCCTGACTGATGTAGCTCAGTGGGCTGGGCATCATCCAACATACTGAAAGGTCTTTGGTTCGGTTCCTGGTCAGGGCACATGCTTGGGTTGAGGGCCAGGTTCCTGGTTGGAGGCATGTAGAAGGCAACTGATCGGTGTTTCTCTCCTCACTTTCTCCCTTCTTTCCCCTCTCTCTAAAAATAAATAAAAAACAAAATCTAAAAAAACAAACAAACAAAACATCCCTGCACTGTTTGAATTTAGACAGGGCATTTATGAAATCCCTCCCATTTCAGCATTTCTTTAACTGTTGTTTTTTTTAGTGGCTATGTTTTTCTTTCCCTGCTTTAGTGGTGGTTATTTTTCCCCATGGTTTAAAATGATTTCAGCTAAAGTAGCATTTATGAAAATCCCCAACCAGATGTGTTCTCTCCATAATCTGAACTCTTCCACAGCCTCTTAGATTGTTCTCATCATGATACCTAGTGTTGCAATTATGTGGTTACACACATAAAGCTTCTTGAGGACAGGGACTGCCTTTCATTTTTGTATCCCAAGCTCCTAGCAAAATGCTTAGATGTAGTAGTATCTAGGGCATATTGTTAAATGAACAGATGCAATAGATTAAGGGATTAATCTTGAGAATAGAAAGTTATTTGTAGCTCAGACATAGACCAGGACTAAACAACCTCTAATGCATTATACAGGATGCAGTCTCTAGTCTGCTATTCCCATCAGTCACTTTTTTCTAAGTGTATAAAATTTATTTTTTCTATAATTGGAACTTAACAGCACCAAAAGAAATGAATATAGATAAACTGGACTTCATTAAAATTAAAAACTGTCCTACAAATATAAAAATTAAGAAAGTGAGATTACAATCCATAGAATGGGAGAAAATATTTGTAAGTAATTTATCTGATAAGGATTGAGCATCCAGAATATATAAACAACTCTTACAATGCAATAATAAAAAGACAACCTACCCAATTAATACATGGGCAAAAGATCTGAATAGACATCTCTCCAAAGATGTACAGATGGCCAACAGGCACCCAGAAAGATGTTCAACATTATTAGCCATTAGGAAAATGCAAGTCAAAACCACAATAAGATACCACTTCATACCGACTAGAATGACAATAATAATATAAAAATATAATAAATGTTGGTGACAATGTGGAGAAACTGGAACTCTCTCATGTTGCTGGTGTAAATGAAAAATGGTGCAGCTCTTTGGGAAAACAGCCTGGAAGTTCCTTAAATAATTATACACTGAGTTATGACCCACAAATTCCATTTCTAGGTACATATCCAAGAGAAGTAAAAACACACAAAATTCATGTGAATGATTATAGGAACATTATTTATAATAGTTAAAAAGTGGAAATAATCCACAAATACATCATGGTGGCATATCACACTTGCTTACCTATTTTTCTATTTAGGAGGATGAGCTTTGACTGTTTATTATAATAATAGTTGTTTATAATAATATAATATTTTATGAGTAGCCATATGTTGATTTATTAAAAATTAATTCTATCATTGAATGTTAATATGTCATTAGCATTTAAAAGCCAAATATAGTTTTAATAATTGTTTAAAATATTTTTAATTTAATTTTAATTTTGAATTTTTAAATACATTTTATTGATTATGCTATTACAGTCATCCCAGTTTTCTCCTTTGCTTTCCTACACCTGCTACTCCCATTCCCTCCAGCAGTAACCTCTTAGTTCATGTCCATGGGTCATGCATGTAAGTTCTTTGGCTTCCCCCTTTTGTATACCATTCTTAACACCCCCTGTCTACTCTGTATATACCAATTTGTGCTTCTTTTGTTGTTGTTTAGTTTTTATTGAAATAAAACCAGCTGGACTTGGGATGGGTAAGGAAAACATGGAACCCAATGAACTGTGATGAGGGCAGGAAAATTATAGAACATTCCAAGAAGATGGGGGTAAAGGGGTGCTCTCCTGAGCTACAGAAGGAATGGTCTGGTGGTTAAGATAAAACACAGGTCAAATTTATTACAGTTGTTCACAGTCAGTGATGGCGATTATCTTGCTGGTCTTGCCATTCCTGGAGCCATAGTGCTCTATGGCTGTCACAACATCCATGCCATCTTTCACCTGGCTGAAGACCACATGCTTGCCATTCAGCCACTCAGTCTTGGCAGTGCAGATGAAAACCTGGGAACCATTTGTCTTGAGTCCAGCATTTGCCATGAACAAGATGCCAGGACCTGTATGCTTCAGGACAAAATTCTCATCATCGGATTTCTCCCTGTAGATGGACTTTCTGCCTGTGTCATTGTGGTGTGTGAAGTTATCACCCTGGCACATAAATCCTGGAATAATTCTATGAAAGCAGGAGCCCTTATAACTAAATCCTTTCTCCTCAGAACTTAGAGCATGAAAGTTTTCTGCTGTGTTTGGGACTTTGTCTGCAAACAGCTTGAAGGAGATGTTGCCCAAAGGCTCAATATCAGCAGTGATGTTGAAGAACATGGTGGGGTTGACTATGGCTGGGCACAGGAAGGTGCAAGGTGGAGGCATCTGCAAGGCCCCAATTTGTGCTTCTTAATCCCTGTACCTTTCCCCCCACTCTCCTTCTTCTTCCAAATGATCTTCTTATCTATGACTCTTTTTGTTCTGCTTGTTTGCTTAGTTTATTTTTTAGCTTCAATTGTTGATAATTGTGAATTTATTGCCATTTTAATGTTCACAGTTTTGATCTTCTTTTTCTTAAATAAGTCCCTTTAACATTTCATGTAATAATGGCTTGGTGATGAAGAACTCCTTTAACTTGACCTTATTTGGGAAGCAATCTGCCCTTCCATTCTAAATGATAGCTTTGCTGCATAGAGTAATTATGTTGTAGGTCCTTGCTTTTCATCACTTTGAATACTTACCAATCTCTTCTAGCCTGCAAAGTTTCTTTTGAGAAATCAGATGTTTGGTCTTATGGGAACTCCTTTGTAAGTAACTACCTGCTTTCCTCTTGCTGCTTTAATATTCTCTCTCTTTAACCTTTGGCATTTTAATTATGATGCATCTTGGTGTAGACCTCCTTGCATCCAACATGTTTGGACTCTGTGCTTCCTAGACTTGTATGTTTATTTCCTTCACCAAACTAAGGAAGATTTCTTTTATTATTTTTTCAAATAAGTTTTCAATTTCTTACTCTTTCTTTTCTTCTGACACCCCTATGATTCAAATGTTGGTACATTTAAAGTTGTTCCAGAGGTTCCTTACCTTATCCTCATTTTTAAAATTATTTTCCTTCTTGCAGTTCTGATTGGATATTTTTTCTTCCTCATGTTCTAAATCATTGATTTTATTCTCAGCTTCATCCACTCCACTGTAAATTTTCCTTTAGTTCACTTAGTGTAAACTTTATTTCTGCTTGGATCGATTTTATGCTGTTGATGTACCTAATGAATTCCTTGAGCATCCTAATAACTAGTGTTTTAAACTCTGCATCTGATAGATTGCTTATCACCATTTTGTTAGCTTGTTTTTCTGGAGATTTGAACTGTTCTTTGTTTTGAGCCATTTTTCTTTGTCTCCACATTTTGGCAGCCTCCCTGTGTTTGTTCCTATGTATTAGGTAGAGCTGCTTTGACTCCTTTTCTTAGTGGCATGGCCTACTTTAGAAAAGCACACCCATAAGTAGAAAGAGGTGGGGAGCCTAAGGTAGTCACCTGGGTGGGGTACCCCATGTGAACTGGATTGATGGAATCTCAGATATGTGGCTCTGTGTGAGTGAAGGCTCAAAAAAGAGACAATGGGTGCTGCCTATACTTTGGAGTTTTGTCCAGGAGGAAGCTTTGCCCCAGCACTTGCCCTGATGCCAGACACTTCAGTTTCTCCCTGTATGCCAATAGTGCCCTTTAAACTGCTGCCTCAGTGCTGGTGTCCAGAGAGAGTGAGTCTGCATAAGTCATAGTCCATTAGGGATGCTTTAAGAGAAATACCTGTGAATCTTGCAGTTTCTTCCATTGCCCACACTCTCACTAGTTTTTGCAGTCAGAAGTTACGGGGACTTATCTCCCTGGCACTGGAACCCTGGGCTGGGTGGTCTGGTGTGGAGCTGGGAATCCCTCACTCCCTAGATATCCCTTTTATTTTTATCTACCACATGTGTTTGTGGGACTGCTCATTCCATGTCTCTGCTTGTCTGCATCTCCACATTTCCTCCCCTCCTACCTGTTTGAATAAATATGACTTCTTTAATTCCTTGGTTGCCAGGCTTCTCTACAGCTTGATCTTCTCACAGTCCTGGGCGATAGCTGTTTTGTAGTTTAATTGTAATTTTTGCTGTAGTTGTGTGAGGAAGTGAGCATGTTTACCTACATCTCCATCTTAACTAGAATTGTTTAAAAATCTGAAAGAATGAATCTATAGTAATTGTATTCTCCAGAAGAATTTTTCTAACAACTTGTCAAAATCTATAAAATTTCACTCAGTGGCTTTCATTTCAATTAAATGAAATTTATGCGTACTACATTAAATTTATGTGTAAACCTAGCTACATTTATAGTATTTGATATCTCAAGTATTTTTTCTTCTCAGTAAGTAGCATTATTTATGCATATCTTCCTGTGCTTTTTCCACTGATATTTTATAACTTTCTTTCAATATTTTTCTCTCAAATTGAGTGAATAACCAAGTATTTAATATTTTGTCATTATCGTGAATCTCTTTTTTGTTATGTTGTCTAGCCTTGTGTCACTTATTAGTGAAACAACTGAATTTTGTCAGTTATATTACTTTGTTCAACATATCAATTTTTTTATTTTTTTATTGATTATGCCATTACATTTGCTCTATTCCCCCCCACCATTCCCCTCCACCCTGCATACCCCTCCCCCCATTTCCCCCTTTAGTTCATGCACATGTGTCTCAAATTCTTTAGATTCAGTATTTCCCCTACTATTCTTACCCTCCCACTATCTATTTTCTATCTACTGTCCATGCTACTTATTTTCTGTACCTTCTCCCCCCTTCTCCTCCTCCCACTCCCCTGTTGCTAACCCTCCATGAGATCTTCATTTCTATGGTTCTGCTCCTGATCTAGCTGTCCTCTTAGTTTGCTTTTGTTTTAGGTGTGGTTGTTAATAACTGTGAGTTTGCTGTCCTTTCACTGTTCATCTTTTTTATCTTCTTTTTCTTAGGTAAGTCCCTTTAACATTTCATATAATAAGGGCTTGGTGATGATGAACTCCTTGAATTTGGTCTTATCTGAGAAGCACTTTATCTGTCCTTCCATTCTAAATGAAAACTTTGCTGGGTAGAGCAATCTTGGTTGTAGGTCTTTGGTTTTCATGACTTGGAATAACTCTTTCCAGCCCCTTCTTGCCTGTAAGGTCTCTTTTGAGAAATCAGCTGACAGTCTGATGGGAACTCCTTTGTAGGTGACTGTCCCCTTAGCTCTTGCTGCTTCTAGGATTCTCTCCTTCATTTTAATCTTGGCTAATGTAATGATGATGTGTCTTGGTGTGTTCCTTCTTGGGTCCAACTTCTTTGGGACTCTCTGAGCTTCCTGGATTTCCTGGAAGTCTATTTCCTTTGCCAGATTGGGGAAATTCTCCTTTATTATTTGTGCAAATAAGTTTTCCACTGGTGGCTGTGCCTTTCCCCCTTCTGGTACCCCTATAATTCGGATGTTGGAACGTTTAAAGATGTCCTGGAGGTTCCTAAGCTTCTCCTCATTTTTCTGAATTCTTATTTCTTCATTCTTCTCTGTTTGATCATTTTTTCTTCCTTCTGGTCCATTCCCTTGGTTTGAGTCCCAATTTTCTTTCCATTACTATTGGTTTCCTTTGTATTACCATTCATTTTAATTAGTTTAGCTTCCATATGTTTCTCTAATTTGTGACTAAAATCAACCAGTTCTGTAAGGATCCTGATAACCAGTGTTTTGAACTGTGCATCTGAAAGACTGGCTATTTCTTCATCGCTTAGATCTATCGGTTCTGGGGCTCTGAGTTGTCCTAGAGCCATTTTTGGTCTATTCGTGCTGTTAAGTAAGTGGAGCCAAGCCTTAGTTGTTTATCGGGACGGGGCAACCCAGGTCGCTGGTTTGTGACGCTGTGTGTGGGAGTGTGGTCAGAGAGGGAGCAATGGTGGTCCTCTCCGCTAGCCCAGCCTGTCCAGTCACAGCACTCACCCCGATCTTGTTTATCTGATCGGAATTGTGGGAGCCTGCTGCCCTGCGCAGGCTTCCCTTCTCACTGGTTTCTCCGCACGCAGATGGGCGACCGACCTACCGACTGCAGACCCTCCGCCTCGCCTCTTCCCCGTGAGCTCCCGTAGCTAGCTGGTGATCAGGGCCTTCGGCTGCTTGCACTCCGCGCACCACCTGGGAATTTTTTCTTGCTAACCTGCTCCGCTGCTGGTTTCACTTCTCTTACTGGTTTAGCTGAGCATTTAGATGTCTTTTGGACTCCGTATTGTCGATTTTCCGTGTGGCTTGGTTGTGATTGTTGTTAAAAATAGTTGTTCTTAGATTTGGTTGTGCACGGAGGCAAGGTGGTTCCTCCACCTACGTCTCCATCTTGGCGGAAGTCCCCAATTTTTAAAAATATTTTATTTATTTATCATTAGAGGGGAAGGGAAGGAGAGAAGGAGAGAAATATCAATGTATGTTTGCCTCTCGTGAGTCCCCTGTTGGGATGTGGCCTGCAACCCAGGCATGTGCCGACTGGGAATCAAACCGTGATCGTGTGGTTCACAGGTCTGTGCTCAACATATCAATTTTTAATGAATTGATGATGACAGACTTTTAATGGATTTATTGATGACAGACTTCTTTATATAATCCTATCATTTTAGAGAAGTGGTATTTCTATTTCTTCCAAATATATATAACTAATTTCCTTTCTTTCTTCAATATCATTTTGCCATAACTTTAATTTAGCCTGATAAGAGAGACATCATGTCATATTTGTGTTTTTAATAGGGTGTCTCCAGTGCCTCTGGCTCTTGATTTTAGGTTTGTACACTGATTCTGTTAAGAAAGGAAATTTCTAGACGGGGCGGAGGGGGGGTTGGGATGGGAGAAATTGACAAGAGAAAACTGTACTTGAAAAATAACTCAATAAATTAAAAAATTTAAAAAAAGGAAATTTCCCATGCCTTTTTATTTTGTTTAACCAATGGGAGGTTTAAATTTTAAGAAATGTCTTCTTACCATCTTTTGAAATATTAGGCCTCAGCTCAAAGATACCCAGACAGGCCTTTCTTGATACCCTTATCTAATGTGACCACTCACCTATGGTCACACTCTAATATATCACTGTCGTATATTCTTCAGAGCACTCAACATCATATGGACCTATTCTGGTGAGTTATTGCCTTACTTACCTCTCTCCCCCATGAGAATGGAAGCTCCAAGAAAGCTAAGTTTTTTGCCCATCTAGTTCACTGTTATATCCCCAGTGCCTAGAACAGTGCCTGATACATACTAGGCATTCAATTTATATTTTATGAAGACATAAATAGATATAATTTTTAGAGTTTATCCATTAAGGTGATATCTTATGTTGAAAGTA